GAGTAAACATAATCCTTATGTATAATTTGACAAAATAAGAATTAAGAGTTGTTGCAAGAGAGGCAACAAAAATTCTGAACGAGATCACTGCTTGCCTTTGTCAAGTTTCATAAAACATATATATTAAATATTTATTCTACGGCTAATTCAACTTTGCCACATGATTATGGACCTTGTTATAGGTTTTGGACATGATTATGGTCCTTTTTCAAATTTGCCAAATGATTATGGTCCTCGTTTAAGTTTGCCACATGATTTTGGACCTTGATTAAGTTTGCCACATGATTTTGGTCCTTGTTGAAGTTTGCCACATGATTATGGTCCTTGTTGAATTTTTCCACATGATTATGGTCCTTTTTTAAGATTGCAACATGAATTTTGTCCCTGTTTATGTTTGTAACATGATTTCAAACCTTTTTTAAGCTTGTCAAATAAATTTGGTCCTTGTTTTAATGTGTCACATGATTTTTGTCCTTTTCTAAGTTTGTCATTGTATTTTGGTATTTTTTAAGCTTGCCACATCACATTTGGGATGGTTTAAGCTTTTCACATTATCTTGAAACTTTTTAAGCCTGTTACACATCTTTAGCACCAGTCTGCAATCTTGTCAACTTGTGTTGAAAAAAAAAGATTGTTTAAAACATGTAGGCAATTTTTCAAAATATAAACTTAAAGCTGGAACAATCTGCCCTTCAGAAATCAAATTCAATTTTTTGGTTTTAAGATTTACCATGTATGAAACTGTGTGGTTTATGTTCACTCAATACTTGACCTGCTGTTGTGAAATATGAAAAATAATGATTGTGATGAAACACAGTGAATTATTGTTTTTATCGCTGATCACACAAATGTTACCTTGCAGTTATAAGATCATTTATCTACCCACCTTAGAACTCAACTAGAACAAATATAAAATGAAAAAATAACATCAACATGTACAATTAATATAACAGTTACCCATATCTGCTCCTAACAAAATGAATAAAAACAAGATTTTACAACATGAACTTCTACCTAAGGAGGTGAATAATGTTAAGATTTGAATAATTTTTGCTTTCCCTTCAGAAATGTATCCAGTCCTTCTATCTTGTAAAATGTAAAGATTTTTACAACTGTTTATGCTGTCACCATTGGATGAGCATACAGGAAGTTTCTCTTTCAGCTAATTTCTTTGGAGGTGAGACCAAAGCTATGAGATTTTCTACACTAATTCTCAGAATAATAAACTGTTAACACAGAGATATGTCTCGCCTATTTGTTATTTTGATAATGCAAATGTTGAAATTAAAATAACAATGTTTTAACATGTAAGTTATGCAAATATTCAAAGTCAATGAAACCTGACTAAAGGTACAGGGCTAAACATAAGGGTTCCCCATAAACTGATCTAATCACAAACTAATACATGAAAACTAAGCAAAATTTTCAAAGTCAATAACCAATGACTGAAGGGGCGGGGCAAAATAATCTCCATGGAAATGAGATATGCCAATGCTTATACAACTGCATACCAAATATCAATGACCTACAACTAGTGGTTCCCCATAAACTGACCTAATCACAAACTAATACATGAAAACTAAGCAAAAGTTTTCAAAGTCAATAGACCATGACTGAGGGGGCGGGGCCAAATAATCTTCATGGAAATGAGATATGCCAATGCTTATACCATGTATACAGTGTTCCAGCTTGATCGTTTTCACAGGGCGGTCCGCCCACCCTTTTCCGACTGACGCCCTGTGCCCTTTTTCTGATGCCCTTTCCTTTTTTCACAAATCCATTCCTTTATTGTTGTATTATTTTGATGAAAATACTATAATTCTACCTGTCTTCATGTTTCTGACAAGTTTATGACCCTCAGCTAATTAACATTTACAGCAGGTGTTATAAGTTGTGATTACAGGTAATCTGCTTATCACCATTGGATGGGTCACTTATCTGTTAATTAATTATTAAGCCTCATGATTGACCATTATAAATATTTTTCCAAGTAATATTGATCAGTCGGCAATTCAATTTCAATATTTCTTAAACGACCACAATTTGCAGTTCGTTTATCCTTAGATGTTTTTGTAAGTTTGTCCATTGAACAACATTGTTCTCCCCCGGACTGTTTCGCATAAGATACGAAATCATTTAGTATAAAATTAAACGAGAGAGACAAATATATTTGTCACTGAGCAACTTAATTTAAAAAAAATCCTGCCTTTTTGTTAAACACGAACCAATCCGTAGATGATTACGGATTCAATCTAAATTTATTATCCTCTTGCCACTTCCTGTTTTCGTTTCGTTTAAAAATCGAAAGTAAACGTGATTTATTCTTGATAAATCTAGAATATATACTGTCATTTTAATCGTTCCAAGTTTAAAAAAAAGGAATTCCAAATATCTCTTTAAATGTTTTACAGGGATAATGATTATGCAGTGAAATAGTCGTTACAATTTCATTTCTGCTGTGATTCCTGGTTTTAAATAAATTGCTTCGCCGAGCGCAGCTTGATACGACCGCAGAGGTCCAACCCTGAACAGTTGGGGCAAAAATGGACACAATATTCGCGCTTGATACAGGTCTGAATTTGGATTGTAATTAAATATTTGACACATAAAAGGTTTCTGACACAGAATAACTGTAGTCAAAGAACTTAGAATTGGTTATATGATTTGAATTTATATTCAATTTTTTGCTTTTGTGCAAAACACTTTTCTGTTGCGAATCAACCCCCCCCCTCCCCCCACATAAAAAAAAGTAAAAAATTTATCCCCCCCTTTTTTTTGCTTTTGTGCAATACACTATGCTGTTGAATATTAACCCCCCCCCCCCCCCACCACACACTTTTCTTTGGCAAAAAAAAATAATATTTGAAGAATTTTTCTTTTTAATTTCTGAAATCTGAAATGAGAAAAAATTGACCCTCCCACAATTTCTTTTTACCCCCCCCCCCCTTTTCCCCCAAAAAAATTCTTTCCTTCAAGATATGGTCATAATCTCAATTCAAATTTCCAATGGAGTTTGCAACCATAATTACCCATTTAAATTTACCATAGTGCTCACTTAATCTATTTTATATAGAATTTAAAATATGGTGTCAAATCGTTCATATGGATTTTTTTGTGAAAAAAAAAGATGCAACATTTGCAGATATTTTTACTGGTCTTCCTTTTTAAATATGGATTATTTTAAACATAATTTAAAAGAAGTGTAAGGGAGGTAATCAAAACGTTGTATTTGGATAACCTCCCTTACACAACTTTTAAATTGTCTTTATAGTTCATTAACCATTACTTTATACATAATTTAAAAGCAGTATAAGGGAGATAGTTTCAATGATGTATTTGAATTACCCCCCTTACACTGCTTAAAATTATGTTTTGTACTAAAGTATTTGTCCATTAACCAGGACACCCTTGTCTTTCCCCCTTTTTTGCCCCTAATTCCTAAACGGTTTGAGCCATAACCTCCCAAAGCAAATCCTAACCATCCCTTTGTGGTATGGAAACTTGTGGTAGAATTTCAGAGAGATCCATACACTGTTCCACAAGTTATTGTCTGGAAACTAGAAAAATGCTTATTTATGGCCCCTTTTTGGCCCCTAATTCCTTAACTGCTGGTACCATAACCCCCAAAATCAATCCCAACCTTCCTTTTGCGGTATTGAACCTTATGGTAAAATTTCATAGAGATCCATTTACTTAAACTGAAGTTATTGTGCGAAAACCAATGTGTCTTCGGATGTCGACGACGACGACATCATCATCATACCAAAATACGACCTCAAAAATTTTTTGCGGTCGTATAAAAAGAGGAACCCAACTTTTGTTGATCAGGAATGTCCCCTGAAAATAACTGAAGTGAAACTAGATTTCCAGATCCTTGTTCTAATCTTTATATTTAAGCATCACATCAGTCAAATCATGCAATAACTGCCTACATTTGTAGCCATGCCTAAGGCCTTCAAAGATCCTGCTCCTTGAAGGACTTGGGCATATGTATAGCTAGTAATATAAGTCCTTGGTTCCTTACTGTTACCCAAAGTAAGGTTGATTTTCTTCTCACGTAAAAGTGACTAAAGCCCTCAAACTCCTAGCTGAAACCCCTGCTGTTTACATAATAAAAGACAATGTTTGACATGCCCTTTTTAAATTATCAATCAGCGTGCTAAAGTGCCCTTTTTCGTGATTGACTCCCTGCCCTTTTGAAATCCTAGCTGGAACACTGTAATACAACTGCATACCACTAGTGGTTCCCCATAAACTGACCTAAGCAGTTTCAAAGTCAATAGACCATGACTGAGGGGGCGGGGCCAAAATAATCTCCATTGTAATGAGATGTGCCATTGCATACCAAATATCATTGACCTACCACTAGTGGTTCACCATAAACGAGACCTAATCACAAACTAATGCATTGTTGACCGCGCCGCCGGATACAGCATACCTATGTCTCGCTTTTTGACTCCGTCAAGGGGAGACAAAAATGTTGTACCCCTTGCTGACAATGAACTTCACCTATGATGAAAGTCAGTCTTCATGAATTCCTTCAAGATAATACAATTCATTTTTCAAACTATATTACAGACTGTTGAAGGGAAAACAAGTATTATTTTACAAAGTTACAATGATAAAAATAATCCCTTAACCATTTTAAAGTTTATATATTGAATATTTGGGGTAATTTGTAAATTCTGCTCATGAAGCTAATGATGAAATAAGCATGTACGTTTTAAATCATCACAATGAACTTAATGGACATTATTTTTACACATCTCAGACAAAACTTTATGCACTGACTGATATCACACATTTTCATACAATCAATACAATTTAACAGTTTCACCAGCATAGTTGTATAAAATATTTGTAGTGAAAAAACACCCAAGAATTTCAAGTCACTTAAATGTTCAAATGAAAGATTTAAAAAGCTCTTAAAGAGCACTGTTGTCTGCATGCAGTTTTTGCTACAAAAAGGCAGGATTCACAACTTAAAATGTAAATTTTACCTTTCCAGTTGATGAAGGGCCCTCTGAATCATCTTCACTTGGGGCCAACGAGCCTTGTAAAGTCCCTGAAGCCTCCAACCTATGGCTGCTCTGAGCACGTCCAAAATTTGGAGTTGTTTTGGCAGTGGACAAACTATTTGCTATAGGAGAGAAAAAAAATCAAAATCAAGACATTTTTTTATGTTGTTGAAAAAATTGAATAAAATATAAGTTATTTGTATCAATTTATCTGTAAAAGACTATATATTCTTGATGAACAGCCAATATGATTCAGAACGAAATAGAATTAAACATCAATTATTCAACAAAACTGACAAATTTAATAAACTTTGCATTGACTGCAGGGAACACAAGTCTGTCCTTCTTAAAAGTTGTCTTCCATTGCCAAAAATTCTAGAAACGAAGTTGGTACTTTGAAAATTGATTATTCTTGCTCTTTATATAATAATACAACAGGAAATACATAAAACTATTCTCATATAATGATAATTTCTCATAGATTTACAAAATCATATGCCAACATTTAATTCTGGATTTACAGTAAATCAGAGGTTTAAACATGGCTACTGGACAAGAAATTTAAAAATGATTTTTTTCGTTTCAATTTTTACACAAAATGGCTTCAACGCCTGGGCAAAAGATTAATGCAGTGCAGAAATTGACAAACTTTGTGTGAATGTTAAAGTTAGAAAGAAGTTTTACACTACACAACAACGCATGACTTCTCATATCAGGTGACTGGTCCAATATGCTATATTGCATACTGTGTAAGGATTTTCTTGGGGCGAGGTTAAATCTTTGGTTTCCAAAGATAATAAAGCTAGTCAATAATTTTGTTACATTTTCACTCAAACCAACTACTGTTTACTTATTCTGTTCTCTGATGGACACTTGTCTCATTGGCAATCATATCACATCTCTCATACATTATAAAGAATACCAAATTTCATTATCTTAACATTCATGTGTGCATCACATAAAAAATAATGAATGTCAACATTAGGCCCAATCAAATTTGCATTTCCTTTTCAACTTTGGAAGGCACAAAATAATAGCATAATACTTTTTTAGTATAGCTGCTCAATACAGCCAACAATTATTAAGCTGGTAGCTATATTCTGGTCTTAATGAGAGCACTGTTCTCAAACAAAACAGAACTGCACATGCTGAAATGTCTGGCCTGCTTAATAGATTATAGCTGAGTAAAACATATATTTTGACATTTTTTGAGAAAATGCTCTTACTGAATATATTTAGAAAACTTAACCTTAATCACTGAATCACGAAAATGAGGTCAGATCAACTAAACTCTGTCTGTCAAACATGTACACCTTACATTGAGTCTATTGACCACAGATAACTGACCTAATATTCATGGTACCTTAGAAACTGACCTGAAAGAGATAGCTTAACATTGACCTTTGAACCATTATGATGAGGTCATTGAGTAGCCAGTGTTAGACACTGTACAATGCACAGTAATTCAATGATCTAAAGATAATTAACCTTAAACATGTTAAATTAATAAAAACTCAGAAACTGAATAAAGCATGAAAACTACTAATGCTTATCATTAAACCACAAAAAGAGGTCAAGGTCAGGTTCTCCAGATGTCAGACAGACAAGTACATTTTACAACAATTTTATAGACCAAATATAGTTGACCCTTTATGAAAACTCATGGACGAAGGTCAAGGTAAGAAGATTCCTGTCAGAATGACAGACATGTACCATATACAACCATGTAATAGATCAAATAAATGACCAAAGACTCACAGTAACAGAAAAACTTATTCATGAGTGAAAACTTAATTTTGGCTTTAGTTTGTCAATGAACCATAAAATAAGGTTTATAAGGTCAAATTTGACCGATAGACTTCAAAACATATGCCATCTTTAAATAAAACATATGTACATTGTAGTTCTTTTACATTCTTAATTATTATAAATTTTATACAATTTGTAAAAACCACCATTGCTGGATAAGCCAACATATGTCTTGCACTCTGTAACTTTTCAACATAGGCAAGGCACCAATGCAAGTCCTTTGATGGTAGCAGATGCCAAAACCCAAAAAATGATTCTGCAAAGCAAAATTTTGCCAAACTTTAAAAATTGGTACCCTGTATCCATGAAAATAAATGAACCCATAATAAAATTATTTCAAGTGCTCCAAGCGTTATAACATTCCGTGTTGTGAATCTTAGGCAATATACAAGTACCCTCTATTTAATTAAATATAAATTACAATAAATGGAATTTCTTTCCTATCCAAATAACCCTTTAAGCATGCAGGATACAGAGAGGACATAATATAAGATATAGAAAAATTTCCAGGACCATAATGGTGAAAATAGGCATCCCTACAGCATGTGTGGCTCAAAATGTTTTTTCTTCTGCATTACAGCCTAGTAACTTTAAACACTGGTCATGTTCGACTTGTATTTTCCTTACAATATACCTGATACTGGACATATCTCAACCATTAGTGTTCGCACTTATTCCTGTGATGTGAAAACATTCTTGTGTGCCATGCCAACCTTTTTTTTCTGAAACTTATTCTTTAACGTGAAAACATTCTTGTGTGCCATGCCAATCTTTTTTTAACTGTGACATGCCATTTTATTTAGGGAAATCTGTCTTTCCTTTTGCCAGACATCAAGAAAAATGTAACAGTATCAGAAAAGTTTAATTCCACAGTTTTTTTATGTTTTTTTTTGCCAATTGTCCATCATTAATGATTTTTCACAATTGGTATGAATAAAATAAGATGTGGGGTATACCTCAATAAGACTCATCTATAAATTCATATCTAAGTAAATTCTAGCTTAAGAATCTGAGGAATTATGGGTAATTCTGTTTTCTTTTAAATTTACCCATGATACAACTAATGAACTAATGTGATGAACAACAATATCAATACTTTAACTAATTTTTCATATGCTTGATGTAAATCATTTTAAACTAGATTCACCGGGGCCAACACTACCACGGTCGTAAAAAGTCATGCTAAAACAAGACATATTCTATAAATAGACAGTAGAATGCATAAGTTAGAAAAACAGATGGGAAGTAAGAGTTTCTCAGTCAGAAAGAAAAAATCTAAACAGTTGTGACATTTGCATTGTTATTTTCAAAATTTAAATGAGAATCAAATCCAGGTGATACTGTAAACCAACTTATTTTCTAGGATACTTAATTAAACGTTGTCCTTTTAGCCTTCTTTTCACGGTTTTCTCATTTTCTTGATGTATTCATTAGGGAAGATCTTGGTAAAAGTCTTGACTATTAGTTGGTTTACAGTAACACCCACTAAATTTTACCATCTCTAACTGCATGTTCTGATGTTGTAGTCACTTAAAGTGCTAATTATAATTTTTTTCTATCGTTTATTCTATTCAGATTTTTTCATTTCTAAATGACAAATTCTTACTAAACTTGTACCATATTCCATTGGGTTGGAGAAACCTATTACCTTTGTATTTGTCAAGTCTAACAGCAGTCTGGGATTTGGGAATTTGGGAATTTTTCAGACGTCCTGCAAACAAATATGAATTCTATTTGTCAATATAATATGTTTATCATTTTCTAACCTTTGTATATGTTGTGTACACATTATATTTTGTGCAACATTACAATTTGTACACAACATATGTACCAGGTTCCCATGGAGTTTTCAGATTATTTGTTTACTTATCAATATAATTAAACAGCAATTTCTAAACCATAAGTCCTCATCAAAACTAATCTATGAAGATCTGAGGCCCTTTTAACAAAATCTTACAGTAAAACCAGGAATGTTTAAATCTTCATAGTATCATTTCTCATCAGATAAGTCACTGGTGCTAGGTAAACTAATACCAAGAATCTTAACGTATAAATACCAGTAAAACCAAGAGAAGGTTTGAGTAGGCTATAATACACACCAAAAAAAAATTCAATTTATACAGAACAGGTTGCCTTCCAAAATTTTCAAGATTTTATGAAGATATTACTTTTTTAAGCATTTATATGGGGAAACAAACCTTTTCAAAAACATTCTGCTTTTTATGAAAGAAATCAATTTTTGACATAAGAAGAGGGTCTGGATGGAGGTCCTTCAATTCTGTATTCTTTAATTTTTTTAGCCATTTTTCACTATTCTTTATAAATTTTGCCCATTATTCTCTATTCTTTATATTTTGACACCAAATTATTCTCTATTCTTTATTTTTTTGCCCATTTTTCTCTAATCTTTATATTTTTAGTCATTTATGCTGCACTTTTTGCCCATTATTCTCTATTCTGTAAGCCCCCATCCAGACCCTCATATAATGCTGTGGCAGCACATCTTCAAACTATAAGAATGATAAACATATGAAGCTTCAATAAAAATTTAAATATTTGGCTTTTCCCACCTCTTCATTACAAAAATAACATTTTTGAGTAAAATCTCTTGATGTTCAAGAAAGTATAATCTGAAAACTCCGAAACCAACAGATATCACTCTGCACTGGATACCAGGCTAAATACCTAGGTCAAAGGTCACAAATAAGTTTTACATTTTCAACTGTAACTGAAATGGTCTGAGGCGAGTACTGAGGTTTTGGATATAAATTAAATGTTTAATTAAGTGGTAAATAATTTACATGTACATTTTACAAAATGGACAAACCTTTGCAACAGTTGAAAATCTACTAAACAAAAACAAATCTTACAACATTCACATTCATAAAACATTCAAATCTAATACATCTAAATTATCCCAAAACTAAATTATAAAACTTTAATCAAATTCTAAACAATGACATGCCATCTGGTTACGTCATCCAAGGTATCCAAACAATAATGGCAGTAAAAAATTACTTTAGACCCCAAATAGGGACCTCTGTATTGCCAAAAAAAAACCAAACCTAAATGAGCAAATATGATAACCAGTGCATTAAATCAACAATACTAATATATTTGTATCATAACCTATAGGGGGAGTTGGGGACAGTTTCAGGGGAGTTAACTCTTGACAAATATTCGATTTAGCTATGTTTAGATATTTCAATAGTGAATTTGGCTGTTCAAATCAGAGCTTGAAGAAAATTTACGTAAAGCAGAAAATTACAAAAATACTAATAGTTATTTGCTACAACAAAATTTTGGTAGAGCAATAGACTATTTGCATATTACCGACTTTTGACTCCGGATTTTATATTTTTTCAACAGGTTACCAAATCAGTGGTAGGACATCCTGGTACTCGGTCAAGTAAGAGCAACTTAAAGAAGTAAAATCAAGCTTTTAACCGGTACAATTTGGGGGAAAAATTTATTGCTTCATGTTTTCTATAGACAGCAAAATCATCGGAAAACAGCAAACTTTCAACCTAAATTGCACCGATTACATGTTTGATTTTACTTCTTTAGGTTGCTCTTACTTGACTGAGTACCAGGATGTCCTACCACAAAGTATAGTAGGTAACCTGTCGAAATATTATTTAATCCGGAGTCAAAAGTCGATAGTATGAAAATTGTCTATTGCCTATTAGTAAACTTTAACACAAAACATCCTTTAATATTTGAGAAAATTTCAAACCTAGTTCCCTTAAAATATGTATTAACAAACAAGTAAAGAGAATGTAGGCATTTCTATGAGTAAACTTATATTTTTTTTCAAAATAAGCAAGAGAACATATATTTAAAATAATCATTTATTTTTAATGGATACTGAAGCAAAATAAAAAGAACAAGAACCTACTTAGGGCTGTTCCATAAAAACATACATGGGACCGAGGGAAGGCACTTCCACATCTCAACTATGGATTGGTGTCATCAATGTTTTTGCATAGTGGAAATGTAAATGAAATTTTAATTTGCCTCTATAGGTGATTACCCCATTTTTAAAGTGCCTTCACCGGGTACCATGTATGTTTTAATGGAACAGCCCTTATAAAAGATCAGGATTTTTAAAAAGAAAATCGATGTTACTCTTTCAGTCAAGTTTTAAAACAAATAATATGCCTAAATGTTCTTTTATCACAAGTTTTTTTGTGCCTTTTGATATTTGTTCAAGTTACAGTAAACCTTTTGAGAGAAATAATATAAATCCCAATTTCTACATACATATGCATGTATCAACTAATTCTTTTTTTTTTCTTTTATTTTCAAGACCTTACTGTACCTTGCAATATATATCATAGACAAGATTAATAAAAGAATAACAGAAAATGAAACTGTCCTTAACTCCCCAATTAACTAACTAGTTTTTCACAAAACATAATCAAATTTAAAAAAAAAACATGTAAAACTAACCCTTTTTATTCAACAGTTGCTTTAACAAAACACTAAAATACAATCATATATAACATAAACCTTACCATTATTATGCAATGCTGGTGCAGAAAACTTTTTGCCAATGTCAGCAAGTGATCGTATGATAGGTAAATGGAATCGACCACTATTGCCGTCCTCGTGGTGTTTTTTCTGATACTGATGGTGATGTCGTAGATACAATGTGTCAAGTACTTTATCTTTCAAATTTTCTTCCAGCTGCTTGGCTGCAATAAGGTTATCAACCAGCATGTCTGAAAATAAATTAATGTGGAGATTTAAGTAAGATCGGGCGTCTTTTTCTGAGCATCTCTTCATGATCATGTTGCAAAAATACTTTTTTGGGTTAAAAATATTATACCAAGTATGTTCAGAAAAAATCCTTTTCAAAATCAAGGGCAGACAATTATGTTGAATTTGATAGGACAATTTGTATTTTTTTTAATTTTTCAAGAAAACCCCTTTTTAATTTAATATTTCAAATGTATTTATGAAAAGCAATTGTCTCAGTGAATTTTAACCAATTCTATCGTTTAATGACTCCTCAATAAAGAAAAAGTAAGTTACCCAATACAACCCATATAAAATAACTGTGATTTCGGGAATTTCAATGTAATTTAACAAAAAAACAAGGTCCGTGACCCCCAGTTTTGAAATATTGAAATTTGAAAGTACATTGACCCAGAAGTCTTTCACAGAAATTTAAGTAACATCTATCGTTGATTATTTAGACACCCCAGTTACCTTAAGTGATTACTCTGCTAGAAATCACACATGTATGTAACATGCCAAATGCAAAACATACTCTAGTCATGTTTTAAAATCTCCTTTACTCGTCTTGTTCAAAGCTTCAGTGACTAAAATTTGAGTAACTTGCTCTAACTTTCTTTATTTCTGAATGTCTTTACAAAATTATGGGTATGAAGTTATCAATAATAATAGTTTAAGAGTCTGATAATTGATTGATTGGTGTTTGCTCTTTGCCACCTCAGAAAAAAAGGCTATATTGCCTTATAGAGGGACTGTTTACTACTTAAAAGCAGATTATGGTCAAATTAGGGCATGACAAAAGACCAATTCAAAACAGTAACCTATACAAACTTCTTACCAAAAACGAAGTGAATGTCATTAGCTTCACAGTCTAACATCACTGTTCCGTTCATGAGGCCACACCGTAACTCAAACAAAGAGTGTAATGATAAGGTGGCAACATGTGGCTTTGACCACCTCTCTCCACCTTCTTCCACATCTTCTTCAAACTTAATCCACCTGTTTAGAACAAATACATACACATTACAGTAAATGTTAAATACTTTTTTTCTCCTTTTCATTCTTTTTGTAAGTTGCCACGTTTTTTTTAATTCAGGATGTTCTGCCAAGTGCAAGAATTGAAAAAAAATCAAAAGTTTTATTTTCATGTAATCAAATGCAAATGATATTCAATATTATATATATTAAAAAAAATACGCAGGTTTAAAAAGGTCAATAATACAGCTAACAAACACAATAAAAATCCTAATCACAAAATTTTTTGCAGACTTTTTCTTATTTAGTTTTGCTTTAAGGTGATCCTTACAGGGCTTCCAAAAAATATTTGACCCAGCCGGACATTTTTTGTCCTATCCTGATTTCAGTCCCTTAAGACTTAGTAACAAAAGGCAAGCATTTTAATCAGTTGGCCATCATATAAACAATGATTGACACAAAAAACAAACTTTAAACTTGACTTTTGATATAAATTCTATGTTCTGACGTAAACTGTTCAATTGATGGTGCATCATTCGAGGTTTGCAATATCAGCATACTAATATCTGCCTTAGACTCTTTATTTGTGGAAAATTACGCTGTCAAAAACTTCGTTTTCGATTTAAAAAAAAAAAAAATTTTCAAATACTGAATGCTGACTTGACAATGGTTAAACATGGACCAGAGACGGATACGTAAAATCTGTGTACCTTTTCAAAGCACGATTGAGTTTAAGTAGCTCTTTCCAAATTATTTCTTCATGAAAATACTCGAAATGAACGTTAGATAAAGGAATCAATGATAATTTTACATTTTTGAAAAATTGGGATGTAAAATTAAACCTCACCCCTGTGCACATGCGCACACTTATACTGTTCAAACAACGTGGTGATGATTTTTCACTTACAACCTTTATTTTAATACTACCTTTTTTATATTTTCATCAAATCATGTTCATAAACGTATTTCTGATAATCTAAATCTTTTTGACTAAATTAGATGCAAACCGCTGAAGTTAAAAAAAAACAAACTTTTAAATAAATGTACCGATCAATGACCGGTACAAAATAGTTTACCTGTTGCGTGTAAATTATGATCTTATCGTTTTAAATACGTTTTTCTGATAGTATCAATCTGTTTTGTTAAAAAGTAGTTAGGATTTAGACCAGGAATGTTTTTAATTTAAATAAAAAAATAACTTTGAAAAAGATTGATCGATGTCCGGCACAAATAGTTTACCTGACATAGGTGACCACAGGTAAATTTCACCTGTTAGACACTTAATTTACCTTGATTGTAATGAGAGGGGATTATAGAAGGGCTTGTTTATAGAGTACTGTTACTTTAATGACCGGGAAAATGTGGCTGTTTAAGGCCCAAGGTCAAGTCAAAATGATTGATTTTTTGGAATCACATGAACGTTGAAATGGCAAACCTACGTAGGATGTCCGCTTCATGCTTGGCCCAGTCAACCAATGTCCGATAAATTTATATTTGTCAGGCAAATATGTCCATTTTGGAAGCCTTGGATACTTACATAACTAAACTTTATCATTTGTCACCATTTATTCTTGTTTGCATGTCATACATTGTTATACACAATGTACTATTGTACTTTTGTCATACTCAATGTACTATTGTACTTTTGTTATACACAATGTACTATTGTACTTTTGTCATACACACAATGTACTATTGTAGTTTGTTACACACAATGTACTATTGTACTTTTGTCATACACAATGTACTATTGTACTTTTGTTATACACAATGTACTATTGTACTTTTGTCATACACAATGTACTATTGTAGTTTGTTATACACAATGTACTATTGTAGTTTGTTATACACAATGTACTATTGTACTTTTGTTACACACAATGTACTATTGTAGTTTGTTATACACAATGTACTATTGTAGTTTGTTACACACAATGTACTATTGTAGTTTGTTATACACAATGTACTATTGTACTTTTGTTACACACAATGTACTATTGTAGTTTGTTATACACAATGTACTATTGTAGTTTGTTACACACAATGTACTATTGTAGTTTGTTACACACAATGTACTATTGTACTTTTGACACACACAATGTACTATTGTACTTTTGTCATACACAATGTACTATTGTAGTTTGTTATACACAATGTACTATTGTAGTTTGTTACACACAATGTACTATTGTAGTTTGTTATACACAATGTACTATTGTACTTTTGTTACACACAATGTACTATTGTAGTTTGTTATACACAATGTACTATTGTAGTTTGTTACACACAATGTACTATTGTAGTTTGTTACACACAATGTACTATTGTACTTTTGACACACACAATGTACTATTGTACTTTTGTCATACACAATGTACTATTGTAGTTTGTTATACACAATGTACTATTGTAGTTTGTTACACACAATGTACTATTGTACTTTTGACACACACAATGTACTATTGTACATTTGTCATAGTAATCACAATGCACTATTGTACTTTTGTTACACACAATGTACTATTGTAGTTTGTTACACACAATGTACTATGAGATGAGCTTAATGTAATCTAACAGCTGATTAATCTTGAGCATGTTGGTTGATAATCAACTGCAGTTTCAGTATCCCTCTAAAATATGGCCAGCTTGACCCTTACATTAGAGAATTTAATCTTATTTTATGGTAAAGCATGATAAACACAGGATATCCAATTACATTTAATGACATCTTGATGTAAGTATCTTTATGTATAATTCACAACAATTTCACTAACTAACGTGACCTATCTATTTTCTAACAAACAAACTTTCACAGCTAGGCCAATATAGTTCAGGAACTTTATTCTAATAATGTGTTTTTATTATATTAAGAGTTGACAGAATACCTAGCAGTTTCTTTCCACTGTGGTTCCTTCCCATCCACAGTTATAAGTTCTTCTAATTCACAAAACAATTCATGGGAGGTATGTTCATCATCATCATCTTCTCCAAGTAGGTACTGAATTCTCATACGAGGAGGTGTGGTGGCTGAAAAAATAATTAACAATTACTTCAGAATATAAGCAACAAGAATCTGTGTCCATAAAACACCATGACCCAATCACATTAAAATTATATGTTCAGTGAACATTGAAATTGGGGTCCAAATCCAGAATTTGGTATATAATTTAAATAGTTAACACCAAAATGGACATGTTTGAACTTGATGTGACCACTACTACAGGATAGATGGTTGATCTGAATAGAAAACATATTGCTCAAAGACTATCGAACGTTGGGGTATAAAAACGTGGGGTGTATGTCAGTGAGACAGCAACCAAGAAACATAAGTATAACCCAAAACATTAATGACTACCTTTACCCAATATATAACCAAGAAGCAGTCTTCATGCTTCAAGTGCTTGGCTAAAGAGACATCTGACCTGGCAAAAAATAATCATCGGACCTGTAAAAAGTAAAATAACAAAAATACCAAACTCCAAGAATTTTTACTACAAGCCAATACAATCTATACAAAATTTTCCAAAGAATTCATGTTGGTCCTGTGGCTGCACAACTTCAAATAAAATGCTCCGCAGGGCGCAGCTTGATACGACCGCAGAGGTTGAACCCTGAACAGTTGGGGCAAGTATGGACACAACATTCAAGCTTGATACAGCTCTGAATTTGGATTGTGATTAAATATTTGACACAGCATAGGTTTCTGACACAGAATGAATGTGGTCTAAGAACTTAAAAATTTTAAATTGGACATTCACCTATTATGGTCCAATATCCAAAATCTAAATACATGGTTAGATTCAGCATATTAATGAACCCCCAAGAATTCAATTTTTGATGAAATCAAACAAAGTTTAATTTTGGACCCTTTTGACCTCAATGTGGACAAAGTTGATAACAGGGCCCAAAAATCAAAAATCTAAATACATGGTTAGATTCAGCATATCAAAGAACCCCATATATTCAATTTTTGTTGAAATCAAACAAAGTTTAATTTTGGACCCTTTTGACCTCGTGGTGGACAAAGTTGATAACAGGGCCCAAAAATCAAAAATCTAAATACATGGTTAGATTCAGCATATCAAAGAACCCCATATATTCAATTTTTATTGAAATCAAACAAAGTTTAATTTTGGACCCCGATTTGGACCAACTTGAAAACTGGGCCCATAATCAAAAATCTAAATACATGTTTAGATTCAGCATTCAAAAAACCCTAAGAATTCAATTTTTGTTAAAATCAAACAAAGTTTAATTTTGGACCCTTTGGACCTTAATGTAGACCAATTAGAAAACGGAACCAAAAATTAAGAATCTAAATACACGGTTAGATTCGGCATATCAAAGAACCCTTATAATTCAATTTCTGTTGAAATCAAACAAAGTTAAATTTTGGACCCCGATTTGGACCAACTTGAAAACTGGGCCCATAATCAAAAATCTAAATACATGGTTAGATTCAGCATATCAAAGAACCCCATATATTCAATTTTTGTTGAAATCAAACAAAGTTTAATTTTGGACCCTTTTGACCTCAATGTGGACAAAGTTGATAACGGGGCCCAAAAATCAAAAATCTAAATACATGGTTAGATTCAGCATATCAAAGAACCCCATATATTCAATTTTTGTTGAAATCAAACAAAGTTTAATTTTGGACCCCGATTTGGACCAACTTGAAAACTGGGCCCATAATCAAAAATCTAAATACATGGTTAGATTCAGCATATCAAAGAACCCCATATATTCAATTTTTGTTGAAATCAAACAAAGTTTAATTTTGGACCCCGATTTGGACCAACTTGAAAACTGGGCCCATAATCAAAAATCTAAATACATGGTTAGATTCAGCATATCAAAGAACCCCATATATTCAATTTTTGTTGAAATCAAACAAAGTTTAATTTTGGACCCTTTTGACCTCGTGGTGGACAAAGTTGATAACAGGGCCCAAAAATCAAAAATCTAAATACATGGTTAGATTCAGCATATCAAAGAACCCCATATATTCAATTTTTATTGAAATCAAACAAAGTTTAATTTTGGACCCCGATTTGGACCAACTTGAAAACTGGGCCCATAATCAAAAATCTAAATACATGGTTAGATTCAGCATATCAAAGAACCCCATATATTCAATTTTTGTTGAAATCAAACAAAGTTTAATTTTGGACCCTTTTGACCTCAATGTGGACAAAGTTGATAACGGGGCCCAAAAATCAAAAATCTAAATACATGGTTAGATTCAGCATATCAAAGAACCCCATATATTCAATTTTTGTTGAAATCAAACAAAGTTTAATTTTGGACCCCGATTTGGACCAACTTGAAAACTGGGCCCATAATCAAAAATCTAAATACATGGTTAGATTCAGCATATCAAAGAACCCCATATATTCAATTTTTGTTGAAATCAAACAAAGTTTAATTTTGGACCCCGATTTGGACCAACTTGAAAACTGGGCCCATAATCAAAAATCTAAATACATGGTTAGATTCAGCATATCAAAGAACCCCATATATTCAATTTTTGTTGAAATCAAACAAAGTTTAATTTTGGACCCCGATTTGGACCAACTTGAAAACTGGGCCCATAATCAAAAATCTAAATACATGGTTAGATTCAGCATATCAAAGAACCCCATATATTCAATTTTTGTTGAAATCAAACAAAGTTTAATTTTGGACCCTTTTGACCTCGTGGTGGACAAAGTTGATAACAGGGCCCAAAAATCAAAAATCTAAATACATGGTTAGATTCAGCATATCAAAGAACCCCATATATTCAATTTTTATTGAAATCAAACAAAGTTTAATTTTGGACCCCGATTTGGACCAACTTGAAAACTGGGCCCATAATCAAAAATCTAAATACATGGTTAGATTCAGCATATCAAAGAACCCCATATATTCAATTTTTGTTGAAATCAAACAAAGTTTAATTTTGGACCCTTTTGACCTCAATGTGGACAAAGTTGATAACGGGGCCCAAAAATCAAAAATCTAAATACATGGTTAGATTCAGCATATCAAAGAACCCCATATATTCAATTTTTGTTGAAATCAAACAAAGTTTAATTTTGGACCCCGATTTGGACCAACTTGAAAACTGGGCCCATAATCAAAAATCTAAACACATGGTTAGATTCAGCATATCAAAGAACCCCATATATTCAATTTTTGTTGAAATCAAACAAAGTTTAATTTTGGACCCCGATTTGGACCAACTTGAAAACTGGGCCCATAATCAAAAATCTAAATACATGGTTAGATTCAGCATATCAAAGAACCCCATATATTCAATTTTTGTTGAAATCAAACAAAGTTTAATTTTGGACCCTTTTGACCTCGTGGTGGACAAAGTTGATAACAGGGCCCAAAAATCAAAAATCTAAATACATGGTTAGATTCAGCATATCAAAGAACCCCATATATTCAATTTTTATTGAAATCAAACAAAGTTTAATTTTGGACCCCGATTTGGACCAACTTGAAAACTGGGCCCATAATCAAAAATCTAAATACATGGTTAGATTCAGCATATCAAAGAACCCCATATATTCAATTTTTGTTGAAATCAAACAAAGTTTAATTTTGGACCCCGATTTGGACCAACTTGAAAACTGAGCCCATAATCAAAAATCTAAATACATGTTTAGATTCAGCATATCAGAGAACCCTAAGAATTCAATTTTTGTTAAAATCAAACAAAGTTTAATTTTGGACCCTTTGGACCTTAATGTAGACCAATTTGAAAACGGAACCAAAAATTAAGAATCTAAATACACGGTTAGATTCGGCATATCAAAGAACCCCAATAATTGAATTTCTGATGAAATCAAACAAAGTTAAATTTTGGACCCTTTGGACCTCAATGTGGACCAATTTAAAAACGGGGCCCAAAATCCAAAAACTTAATACACGGTTAGATTCAGCATATTAAAGAACCCCAAGAATTCAAGAATAAAACCCTATTGAAATTGATCAAGAAATAAGCAATTTATACGAAGTATCTTCTTTTGCACAATACTGTACAATTGACAATTTCTTGCTATTGCGCAATATTGTGCTATTGGATATTTCTTGCTATTGCGCAATACTGTGCAATTGGAGATTTCTTGCTATTGTGCAATACTGTGCAATTGAACATTTCTTGCTATTGTGCAATACTGTGCAATTGAAAATTTCTTGCTATTGCACAATACTTATTATATAATAATTTACACATTCTGTTTGGTGTGTATCTCCTACCATATCATTATTATTTGCTTTTAAATATAAATCAGAAATAACCAACTTAAAATGGAAAATTTTAAAAGAAAAAAAAAGGAAAAAAAGAAAAAAAAAGAAAACCCCCCCCCCCCCCCCAAAATTTTTTGAACCCCCTTATGATTCATCACCCCCAAACTCAATCCCAGCCTTCCCTTTGTGGTATGGTACCTTGCAGTACAATTTCAGAGAGATCCATACACTTGAACACAAGTTATTGTCTGGAAACTAGAAAAATGCTTATTTTTGGCCCCTTTTTGGCCCCCAATTCCTAAACGTTTCGGGCAATTACCCCCAAACTCAATTCCAGCTTTCCCTTTGTGATATGGAACCTTGTAGTACAATTTCAGAAATATCCAAACACTTACACACAAGTTATTGTCATGAAACTAGAAAAATGCTTGTTTTTTGCCCCTTTTGTGGCCCCTAATTCCTAAAATTTTGAGGCAATTACCCCCAAAATCAATAACAGCCTTCCCTTTGTGATATGGAACCTTGTGGTACAATGTCAGAGAGATCCATACACTTACACACAAGTTATTGTCTGGAAGTTACAAAAATGCTTATTTTTGGCCCCTTTTTGGCCCATAATTCCTTAACTGTTGGTACCATAACCCCCAAAATCAATCCCAACCTTCCTTTCGTGGTATAGAACCTTATGGTAAAATTTCATGGAGATCCATTCACTTAAACTAAAGTTAGAGTGCGAAAACCAATGTGTCTTCGGACGACGACGATGACGACGACGACGCCGACGACGACGCCAACGTCATACCAATATACGACCAAAAAATTTTTAATTTTTGCGGTCATATAAAAACTGTCAAGAAGTCATCATAATATCTATAAAAATTAATTATAATGAATGATTTGATATTTACATGTAGTCTAGAACTTTATTCCGTGGAGTTGTATAGGGTATGGGATTTTCAGATCTGCTTTGTGAATCAGGAAGTGACTGACTGGCTTTATGATTGCCAATTTAATTGCTTACATCCACTTCATTTGAACTCTGGTGGATAGTTGTCTCATTGGCAATCATACCACATCTTCTTATTTTTATTTTGAATTTTATTATACCCACCTGGTATAGAATATTTATCTCTTAAAACAACCTTTGTGTTTGTTTCAACTATCTGATGAACTAGTGTCATTAGTACACATGCACTAGTGCAGTATCTTTGTATTTCTAGTGAAGCTAATCAAATTAAATGCTTTTTTTCTACATTGATTTTTACATCATATACAAATGTACGCACTAACTTTCCATTTATTTTGCTACTTATATTATCTAGGTAATAGTGGGAACAAATTAACAAACATAAAAAATTCAAAAATTGTCAAGCTTGAAATTGCCCCAGGTCTAGGACAAGTGTGAAGTGCTTCCCCTTACCTAGTAGATATATAACCACCCTCCATAAGCTGTTCTAGTGGAGTACTCCTGTAGCTCAGTTGGTAGAGTGGTGGCTTACTGTGCCAGGGGACCCAGGTTCGATTCCTGGCTAGCAGCATTTTTAGATCCATGGTCAACATATGAAAACACTCTAATGTAATAAAATCATTACCTCTACTTCTACCATATTGCATATTGTATGTTCAGGAAAAAAGAAGTATTCATGGGATCGCCAAAAAAAATAAATAGGGAATGTGTCCATCGGAAACAGATGATGCCCCCGCTTGCATTTAACATTATAAAGGGACATAACTCAAGAACTGTAAAAGTGATGCTACCCAAATTCTTAACATTTGGTTGAGGCAAACTAAAGTTAGAGAACAGAAACGAATATTTCAGCAACTTTTCCATTTGTAATGGGGCATAACTCTAGAACAGTAAAAGTGACGCCACAAAAATTCAAACTTGATCTGTGTTTTGTGGTAATAAGCATTGTGTATAAGTTCCATAACATTTGGTTGAGGCAAACTAAAGTTAGAGAACGGAAAGTAATTTTGGGACGTACATACAGACGGACAGGTAAAACTTAATGCCCCCTCCGCTACGGCATGTAACTATGATGACACAATGATGGAGTGAGACAATATGTTGGGGTATACATATTCTTTTTACATACATTTATTATGTGTATGGATCTAGGATGACTTACAGCTGTTGTCAGTTTCCTCAGCCTTAATTCTCTCAACACCTGTCTTTTTATGTTTGTGGTGACGTCTACGTCGCATCCCATGATGATGTTTAGGTAACTGTAATCCAATGTATACTGTTTCTTGATGTCTGTGGTCTGTCAAATATTCAATTAAAATAAGTAAGAATGAATACATCAAAGTAACAAAAACTTACTATAAACATGATAAACATGATAAACACTATAAACATGATAAACATGATAAACATGATAAACATGATAAACAAAGGCAATCTTATAATGAGGCCACTTTTTTGCTCATGTCATATCTAAACTTTAGTCCATTTCCACGTTTGTGATGTCATGGTGACATCACAATTGAATTTTCTGAACTTAAAAGAGTCCAGATTAAGTCAGCCTGTTCATTTATCAAATTCCTTTACATAGTTTAAAAGGCTTGACTATACCGGTAATTTTCAGGGTTCAAATGTACCTAATGCACATATAAAATGAGTGAAAATATCCCCACACATACATGTATTCGTTAAACAAATTAAAATTAGAATTGGGCGCCTGCTAACATGTTTAACCCGGCCACATTCTGTATGTGCCTGTCCCAAGTCAGGAGCCTGTAATTCAGTGGTTGTTGTTTCTTGCTGTTATCATATTTGTTTTTCATTTATTATTTTGAACATAAATCAGGCCGTTGGTTCTCTCGTTTGAATTGTTTTATATTTTTCATAACGGAACCTTTTAAAGCTGACTATGCAAAAGGGGTTTTACTCATTGTTGAAGGCCGTATCGTGACCTATAATTTTTAATTTCTGTGTCATTTGGTCTCTTGTGGAATGTTGTCACATTGGCAATCATACCACATCTTCTTATTTTTATATAAAAGTATTGATCATGTTGATGTAAAGGGCTCACTTATCATTAGATGCATGAATCTCTGTAAACAGGTTTTATGCATAGAAATTGTAAAAATACAATGAAATAATTATAACAACCTGCTAAAATATCCATGTTTACATAATATATTACAGTCAAATTTTCTTTTACTTTTTATCAATCAATACATTAAATTAGAAGTCCTCCTGTGAAGACATGAGTTTGCTACATCAAATCAGATAAATCTTTAAATCAACAATGAATAATAATGTAAATTCAGAAATTATTAAGTGCATTTATCATGATTGCAAACATTGAACACAAATGCAGGACTACATGTAATTAAAGCAATTTCAGGAATTTCTTAAAATTAGGAATTACAAATAAGGCTATTCAAATTCAAATGCAAGTTTTCAAATTTTTGAAACACATCCCAATTGCAATTTTCTAAATATTTTTGAATTAACAGTAATTAATTCACAAACAAGAAAAGAGCTACCAAATTGACAGCACACAGGGTTTTCTGTTCTTTGAAGGCACTGACAGGCTTGTTTGACCTTTGAGGTTTTGTGCCTAGCTATTTTTAACCTATTAAGGACCATAACTCTTAAACGGAATAAGTGAAAATCATCAATTCAAAATTGACCTCCATTTTGTCACCAATAACAACATATTAAATTTGAAAAGCATTGGATAAACGGTTCATAAGTTATTGAAAGAAACTGTTGGCAGCCGCCTGTGCACCGCCTACCGCCTGCCATACATGTACTTCACCAAATTAGAGAACCTTAGTAAGCGCGCTCACATACCCCACGTCCCCACATTGTCATTGGAGAAATAAAATAACTGTAAGAAAAATAAAATGCTTTGCTGGGCGCAGCTTGATACCACCGCAGAGGTCGAACCCTGAACAGTTGGGGCAAGTATGGACACAACATTCAAGCTTGATACAGCTCTGAATTTGGATTGTGATTAAATATTTGACACAGCATAGGTTTCTGACACAGAAAGAATGTGGTCTAAGAACTTCAATTTTTTTAATTTACCTATTATGGTCCAATGTCCAAAATCAAAATACATGGTTAGATTCAGCATATCAAAGAACCCCATATATTTAATTTTTGTTGAAATCAAACAAAGTTTAATTTTGGACCCCAACTTGGACAAACTTGAAAACTGGTCCCATAATCAAAAATCAAAGTACCCAAAGAATTCAATTTTTGTTAAAATCAAACTAAGTTTAATTTTGGATCCTTTGGACCTTAATGTAGACCAATTTAAAAATGGGACCCAAAATTTAAAATCTAAAAACACGGTTAGATTTGGCATATCAAAGAACCCCAATAATCCAATTTTTGATGAAATCAAACAAAGTTTAATTTTGGACCCTTTTGACCTCAATATGAACCATTTTGATAGCGGGCCCACAAATAAAAAATCTAAATACATGGCAAGATTCAGCATATCAAAGAACCCCATATATTCAATTTTTGTTGAAATCAAACAAAGTTTAATTTTGGACCCCAATTTGGACCAACTTGAAAACTGGGCTAAAAATCTAAAATCTAAATAAATGTTTAGATTCAGCATATCAAAGAACCCCATATATCCAATTTTTGTTGAAATCAAACAAAGTTTAATTTTGGACCCAAACTTGGACCAACTTGAAAACTGGGCCCATTATCAAAAATCTAAACACATGTTTAGATTCAGCATATCAAAGAACCCCAAGAATTCAATTTTTGTTAAAATCAAACTAAATTTAATTTTGGACCCTTTTGACCTCAATGTGGACAAAGTTGATAACGGGGCCCAAAAATCAAAAATCTAAATACATGGTTAGATTCAGCATATCAAAGAACCCCATATATTCAATTTTTGTTGAAATCAAACAAAGTTTAATTTTGGACCCTTTTGACCTCAATATGAACCAATTTGATAGCGGGGTCCACAAATAAAAAATCTAAATACATGGTTAGATTCAGCATATCAAAGAACCCCATATATTCAATTTTTGTTGAAATCAAACAAAGTTAAATTTTGGACCCCAATTTGGACCAACTTGAAAACTGGGCCAAAAATCAAAAATCTAAATACATGTTTAGATTCAGCATATCAAAGAACCCCGTATATTCAATTTTTGTTAAAATCAAACAAAGTTTAATTTTGGACCCTTTGGACCTTAATGTAGACCAATTTGAAAACTGGACCCAAAATTAAAAATCTAAATACACGGTTAGATTCGGCATAACAAATAAATAAATGTGGTCAAAGATTTTACAAATCAAATGCGCCATATTGTCCAATTAAAGATTACTTCTTGAAATTTTTCAATATTTGAAATTTGAAAAAAAAATAATATTTGAAGAATAATTCTTTTTAATTTCTGAAATCTTAAATGAGAAAAAATTGACCCCCCACAATTTCTTTAAACCCCCCCCCCCCCTTTTTTCCCCAAAAAAATTCTTTCCCTCAAGATATGGTCATAATCTCAATTCAAATTTCCAATGGAGTTTGAAACCATAATTACCCATTTAAATTTACCATAGTGCTAACTTAATCTATTTTATAATAGAATTTAAAATATAGTGTCAAATCTTTCATATGGATTTTGTTGTAAAAAAAAAAAGATGCAACATTTGCAGATGTTTTTACTGGTCTTCCTTTATAAATATGCATTTCTTTAAACATAATTTAAAAGCAGTGTAAGGGAAGTAACCAAAACGTTGTATTTGGATTACCTCCCTTACACTGTTTTAAATTATCTTAATTGTTCATTAACCATTACTTTATACATAATTTAAAAGTAGTGTAAGGGAGATAATTTCAATGATGTATTCGATTTATCTCCCTTACACTGCTTTAAATTATGTTTTGTACTAAAGTATTTGTCCATTAACCAGGACAACCTTGTTTTTCCCCCTTTTTTGCCCCTAATTCTTAAACGATTTGAGCCATAACCCCCCAAAGTAAATCCCAACCATCCCTTTGTGGTATGGAAACTTGTAGTATAATTTCAGAGAGATCCATACACCGTTCCACAGTTATTGTCTGGAAACTAGAAAATGCTTATTTTTGGCCCCTAATTCCTTAACTGTTGGTATCATAACCCCCAAAATCAATCCCCACCTTCCTTTTGTGGTATTGAACCTTATGGTAAAATTTCATAGAGATCCATTCACTTAAACTAAAGTTAGAGTGCGAAAACTAATGCGTCTTCAGACGACGACGACGCCAACGTCATATCAATATATGACCACAAAAATTTTTTTTGCGGTCGTATAAAAATTGTATAAGAAAAAAAAATTGAATCATAATTTCCTGTCGATATGCACATCTACCTAGTATGTCCTTATTATCTACAAAGTTTCATGAAATTCTGTTGTGTGGTTTCAGAGGAGTTGCAATGACAAACTGTTGCAGAGGTATATTGAAGCAAATAAGTTCAAAGGGGCGTAACTCCTAGAAAAATCAAAGCATCGTTGATGTTGTGATCCAGCCATATTTATAGCTAGTCTGATATTCTTTCTGACCATACTTTTTCAAATTTTTTTTCTCTTTTCATTCTAAATCTTACTGTAAAATTTCTATGTTATTTTCCAAAGGAAATAAAAATATTAATGCAAATATAGATATATATATTGATATTTCAATTTTAGACTCTGTCAGATTTTTTTTGACAATAATTTAAAGGGAAATCGTCAAATAAGTAAAATATTTTTTTATATGCCATTTATAATAACTGGCTTTATAATTTCCAGAAAGAGGACTTAGAAATGCACTTTCTCAACAACAAAAATTAAAAAAAAATAATAACTATTTTTTTATCTAAATTGGTGTTCATTCTTCATTAAGAAAAAATACATTTCCTGTATTCGAATTTAAATGTACAAATACCTAATGATGAGATATTTCCTATTACTGTTAAATAGCAATATAAAGGGATATAAATGTAGAACAAACAAATACATTTTATTGCAGAAAATGCTCAGGTAAGAGTTATGCAATTTTGTATAATATTTCAACCAAATTTCTGATAGTTTTAAATAATTAATTTGAACTTGATTATTGACTTATGTCAGATGATAATGACACTCTAATTTTACAAGTGAAATAAAATTTGCTTGCATTTTTTATACATATTTTTTTAATTTTTTGTCTTTTCTTTGAAAAAAAAACACATCTGATTAATCATTCAGCTAGCTACTAGCAAAACTAACAGAATATTTTAGTGTAGATTACAATAAATAAATACATTTTTAGGTTTACTATTGAGAATGTGTGTATTCAGTTAGGTGTGTAATAAATTGTGTCTATTTAATTATGTAACAGGTCATGAGATATTAACTGTGGTGAATTAAGACTGGGGTCGTTTCCAATTAATACTTGCACCTTTGAGTGTAATTATTTGAAAATCATGACAGTTGATAATCATACTGACTCTTACTTGCCTATGGAAAGAATTGGAGTAATACCATTTCAAAAAAAGTGTGGGAATCAACTTAGATATATTAATACAGATGTTGACCTACATTTCATTGAACAACAACTTACACAAGCATAAGATACTAATATAATACTCTCAAAATTCTTATCAACTGATTCAATTGATGTACAAATACTTTTTCAAATTAATTCATAAATAGTAAATCATTATAAATTTTAATTTACAAAGGAACTATATGCAAGTGTATATCTAAAATAAAAGGGTTGTTCGACCAATCTTTTCTTGATTTAAGGACAAATAACATGTCAAACTTTGGCAGTTGATGATTAAAATGGTGTAGAAAGTTTCTGCAAGTCATAAAAACACATAATTAGTTTCATATCATGTCTTCAACTTAGTAGTCTTCACCATCTCCAAAAACAGAGTGATCGCATAGATCCAGCATGGCTGAATCAAAAATTGATTCGTAATTTCCTGTCGATATGCACATCTACCTAGTATGTCCTTATTATCTACAAAGTTTCATGAAATTCTGTTGTGTGGTTTCAGAGGAGTTGTGATGACAAACTGTTGCAGAGGTATATTGAAGCAAATAAGTTCAAAGGGGCGTAACTCCTAGAAAAAAAATTGAATTGTAATTTCCTGTCGATATGCACATCTACGTAGTATGTCCTTATTATCTGAAAAGATTTCATGAAATTCTGTTGTGTGGTTTGAGAGGAGATGCGATGACAAAAGGTTGAAGTAATATATTGGGCAAATAAGTTCAAAGGGGCGTAACTCCTGGAAAAAAAATTAAATCGTAATTCCCTGTCAATATGCACATCTACGTAGTATGTCCTTATTATCTGAAAAGGTTTCATGAAATTCTGTTGTGTGGTTTGAGAGGAGTTGCGATGACAAAAGGTTGCAGTAGTATATTGGGCAAATAAGTTCAAAGGAGCGTAACTCCTGGAAAAAAAATTGAATCGTAATTTCCTGTCAATATGCACAACTACATAGTATGTCCTTATTATCTAAAAAGGTTTCGTGAAATTCTGTTGTGTGGTTTGAGAGGAGTTGCGATGACAAGAAACAGGACTGATGGACTGACAGACTGACGGACGGACAGACGGGTCAAAAACATTATACCCTCCGCAACTCGTTGCGTGGGGTATAATTAATAACTGGATTTTTCATTTACAAAACCCATTTAAAAACCACTAGTGAATCTTATATGGAAAAATTCGTAAGGGTTCCGCGGAACCCAGTGTCTCACCCACTTTTTCTGTTAATCGCAGGCTCAACAAAAATGAGGAAGTAAATCAATAAAAATTTTCCTCTTGGTACTATCTTTTGATTGTTAGAAGCTTCTGTCCAAGTTTGGTAAAAATCCAGGATAGTTTATGAATCTAATAAATGTTTAAAAACTTTTAACTGCAGACTGAATGTAATGTTAACTGGAAGAAAACAAAATTTCCTTCTAGATACTAGCATTTGATCATAAACAAGCTTCTGTCCAAGTTTGGTACAAATCCAAAATAGTATAAGAAAGTTATTAAAATTTTAAAAACTTTAACCACAGAGTGAATATGTTGTTTCCTGGCAGAAAATCTAAGTTCATTTAAAAGTAAAATACGGAAAAAATGTATTTATATTTTTACAAAATTTCCTTCTAGATACTAGCTTTTGATCATAAACGAGCTTCTGTCCAAGTTTGGTACAAATCCAAAATAGTATAAGAAAGTTATTAAAATTATAAAAACTTTAACCACAGAGTGAATGTGTTGTTTCCTGGCAGAAAATCTAAGTCCATTTAAAAGTAAAATAAGGAAAAAATGGATTATTTTTTTACAAAATTTACTTCTAGATACTATCTTATGATCATAAACAAGCTTCTGTCCAAGTTTGGTACAAACCCAGGTTGGTTTAAGAAAGTTATTAAAATTTTAAAAACTTTAACCACAGAGTGAATGTAATATTTCCCGGCAGAAAAACTAAGTCCATTTATAAATAAAATACGGAAAAAATGGAATTTTATTTTTACAAATTTACTTCTGGATACTATCTTATGATCATAAACAAGCTTCTGTCCAAGTTTGGTAGAAATCCAGGATAGTTTAAGAAAGTTAACCACAGAGTGAATATTTGTGGACGCCGCCACCGCCAACGGAATGTAGGATCGCTTTGTCTCGCTTTTTCGACTAAAGTCGAAGGCCGACAAAAAAGAAACCCTTCAAATCTGACCAATAGATGAAGATGACAGACAAACAACAGCCCATAAAACAATACACAGGAAAAAAAACACTGAGCATTACAAACCTCTCAACAAAACCAAGGGTGAACTGACAGGTGCTCTGAATTTACAAGCAAGTAAAATGCTTTGGATTACCTTTTATGTCAGCATCACTGGGCACATGTGCATTGGCAAATGATCCCAAATCCCTAATGGGTAAATTGGGTATAGTGGGTGTATCCATAGGCATTATGATTTTTATTTATAGATTCAAATTATTTTATCCTCTTCACTGTATTCTTCCATGTTCATTCTGATACAGAATTATTCCTGAAAATAGAAAAAAAAAAAATGATTTTATTTCAACTAAATATTTACATCAGGGAGTTTAAAGAAATGTAAGTACAAAAAAATACAATGTTCCCTCTAGATCTATGTCCTTTGGTTTTTTGTGTTGTTGTGTTGCTGTCACATTGGCATATAAGCCACATTTTACTTATTTACAGATCAAGGGATATATGCTCAACATGCTCAAGTACAAGGTCCACTACTTCCTTTCATAGACATACCTTGGAGTTGGAAGTACAATAAACCATTCAAAATATTCAATAGCATCAATATCATATTAGCATGCAGATACCTTTGAAATGGAGGCCATGTTTTAAGGATACTGACAACAGGACCTATGTGTCCCTTTTTAGTTTTAGCTCTGTGCTTGTTTTCTTTTATCCATCATAATAACATGCAGAAACCGTTGAAATGGAGGCCATGTTTTAATGATGCTGACAACAGGACCTATGTTTTAGCTCTGTGCTTGTTTTCTTTTATCCATCATAATAACATACAGATACCGTTGAAATGGAGGCCATGTTTTAAGGACCCTGCCTATATCACCCATGTGTCCCTTTTTAGTTTTAGTTTTGTGCTTGTTTTCTTTTATCCTTTCTGGTACATATATATTTGACCCTTTTTCCCCTACTGTCAGTCAGGGGAATTACTGAAATAAGTGATTTATAAAATCACTTATTTAAGTAGCAAATTCGAAATTTTGTCACAAATTGTGATTTCGTAGTTTTACCAATATTTTAAACATACAGGTTTAGATTATATCTTATTATTAGTAAAATTGAAAAAAAATGAACCTTTTGCTTCTTTTACGTAGCAAGGTTTATGCCTTTGATGCAATCATTTAGCTGTAAATTCTATATTTGTTGAAAAAAATGCTATAATGAAGGCTTTACATAATGAACTGATACTTTCTTAACAGATTTTTCCTGTAAATTCAAGGTTTCATCTTACAGATTATGTAATAAAATTTTACTGTTCGAGATCAACATTTCACTGTTTTCGGGGGGTGGGGGTTGAAATTAGTGAGGGTAATTAAAATAATAATACTTAAAGAAGTGATTTTTTTGGAAGAAAATAGAGGTATGATACCTAAACAAGTGATTTTCATGTCATTATCTGAGACTCAGTACAAGGTCGTCACCTGACATGACCGGTCATCCTACCAACACAGATGTTGGTTCTGATAATTTTAGCAACAAATTAGTCCCTGGATCAATAGCATTGTATATTTAAAGCTACAATAAAATTAAATCCCTTAGTCTAGTGATTTATTTGTACTACTTAAATAGGTGATTATTAAAGAAAGACAACTCTTACTTCCAACATTTGTGCACAAAATGTTACTTGAATCAGTGACTTAGAAATCATTCAATTAAGTAAGTCCTCTGACTGACTGTATATGTACAGTGAAAACTGTATCAACTGAACAATAAGATCAAATAATTTTCTGGGTTTAGCCATGTTCAAAGAATATTGATGCTGTTATAGAGAGACTTTTGAGCCAGTCTTGTTAAGACTAGTTTCTGGCTAAGTCACTATAAAAATAAGAAGATGAGGTATGATTACCAATGAGACATCTCTCTACCAGAGACCAAATGACATAGAAGTTAACAACTACAGGTCACTGTATGGCCTTCAATAATGAGCAAAACCCATACTGTTTGTTTTTTGTTTTATAAAGATTTAACTGTATATAATGTCTGACATACATGACCTAGGTGTCATATAATCACATCCATTATTCATTTTCTCAACAGAACTGCATCTTAGTGTGTAATGTAATTCTTATTTTTTCCAGATAATCTGAATCACAACACTACATAGCATAGGATATCTTTTGATGTGAAAACAACAAAAATCTCCATCAGTGAGATAAAAGACAGAAAATAGATTATATTCTAAGCCTCTTTTGTATCCACAAGTCAATGTAAGAATGGATAATAAAGTCTATCTATAAAAATATCCCCAAATCAATGTCTAAAAGGATAATAAATTCTGTCTATTAAAATAATCCCAAATCAACGTCTGAATGGATAATAAATTAAAGTCCATCCATCATGTCTATAAAAATATCCCCAAATTAATGTCTGAATAGATCACAAAGTCTATCTATAAAGATATCCTCAAATCAACGTCTGAATGAATAATAAATTAAAGTCCATCTATAATAAATGGGGAATGTGTCCATGGGACACAGATGATGCCCCCGTTTGCATATCATATAAAGTTATAAAGGGACAAAACTGAAGAACTTTACAATTGATGCTACCCAAATTTGTACTTGATCTGAGTTTTGTGGTAATAAGTATTGTGTATAAGTTTCGTAATATTTGGTTGAGTCAAACTTAATTTAGAGAACAGAAACGAAAAATTCAGCAATTTTTCCATTTGTAAAGGGGCATAACTCTAGAACAGTAAAAGTGATACCATCAAAATTCCATCTTGATCTATATTTTGTGGTAATAAGCATTATGTATAAGTTTAATAACATTTGGTTGAAACTAACTTCAGAGAACGAAAACGAAAAATTCAGCAATTTTTTCCATTTGTAAAGGGGCATAACTCTAGAACAGTTAAAGTGACACCACCAAAATTCAAACTTGATCTGTATTTTGTGGTAATAAGCATTGTGTATAAGTTTCATAACATTTGGTTGAGGCAAACTAAAGTTAGAGGACGGAAACGGAGGGGAAGAGGATATATATAAAAAGAAAACTTGAATTACAATGAAAGCAGACCACACCAACCCAGCCACCTGTCTTTGTTTTATAAAATGATGCAGTTGCTATTTTATAAACTTGCAACCGAAGTTATAAAGTTGTAAAACATAGAATGGGAAATAGTTGCACTTCTGGAAATGGTTCAATGATTTTAGAAACAGCCAGCAGTATTGCAGTCTTCTTCCCTCTAAAGGGACAGTAGGTCACAATTTTTTTAAAGCTTTTTTTTTCAGTGACAAAATAAATATGATTTATATTATATACAAATCCAATCCCAATTAACACTACCCATTGCATGCATTGCATCTGATAATTTGTGCATGCAAGATAGAATTATTGCAAATTCCAATGTTACGACACATTATTCAGATCAATTTCATTTCAAATTTGACTAAATAAGTCTGACAGCTAAAATAGAATTTTTAATCATACTACAATGAAGCAAAAAGCTATTTCTTTATATATAAATGATAATCTTTTAATGATAAAAATAGATAAATATATCATTTTTCTAAATCATCATATCTGAAAATCCTGCATCTTGCAGGAAATTATTATAGAATGGACAAAAAAGTAGATGGAATATATTTTGAAAGAAATCAGAAAAGGGCTGATATCCCTAATAGGAGATTGGATTTATATGTTGCTTCTCTATGGTGTATGATTGTATACACAAATAGGTAGTATTAGTATTTAAGGCTTTTTAAAGTGACCATTCATAATTGTATATAAAGTCAATGACATTTACTAATATAAACAGATAATACAATGACCGATAAGCTTGCACCTTAAAACAGAAAGTACTACACATCTAGTACAGACTAAACATGCACCTGTGATACAACAAATATGTCAAAATATATGACATGAAAATATGTGCCATTTCATTTAACCTAAATATAAGGAGTTGTTTGGTACATTTGATGCTTAACTAGTAATTAACATGTAAGAATTCTATATGCATGTTAATCAGTATAGATAAAAGAACATGTGTCATTAAAGAGAGATACAGACAGCATGTGAAAAAGTAGATTGTTATGCAATCCAAACTAAGATCAGGGCCCTAAAATAGGCTAATAAACTACAGCTAGCAAACCATACATCCCCCACTGATCAATCCATCATCATACACAAACAAACAAACAAATAATTAATTTGCCAATCACAGTGCCCAAAATGAGCAGAATAATTACAATATAATTTTTTTTCAAACATTATATATAAGAAAATAAAAAAAGGTTAAACAAATTATAACACATGTAATAAACAAACTAAGGTTAACATAATTAAATTCTATTTAATGATCTCTAACTAATCCAAAGAAAGTCACTTATACTACATGTATAGCTACCTTAAACCTACATGACCTCAGATCCCTACCTGATTCTAGACAAGTCAACATAACAATTAACATCAAACCTGCCTCCATTTCAATGGTATACGATACAATAAATGTTTCCTTTTTCATCTGTCCTCCATCATATAATAAAGGATCCCTAAGTCAGCATCAAATTCATTTTCCACTGTATAATTAATTATCAATCACCTTTTAAGAATATTACCTTTACATCTTTTTCCTATATCAATGGATCACTTGTGTGACAGTTGACAATCATATTAAAATGTTTCAAATGTTCCCAGTCTATATACACTACTGTGTTAAACAGTTTTAATCTCTAACAGATCATTTACAATGGGATTTAAACATTGAGGGGCTCGAGTTAAACCGGCTATGGGGTCAAAATATTGCCATACATGTATGTTGTATCTGTGTATGCATTTTGTACTTTTCAATATATACATACATTGACATATATATGCAGTTTAAATTTTGTATGATATAGAGTTACATACACTTAAATTATTTCTATGGTACATATGTACCACTGTGTACTGACAACCTCCATTGAAAACATATTTGTATTTAACATTAAAGTAAGAATGAAATCAAAGGCTTTAAGTAAGTACAAGTTAAGAATTAGGGCAAATATCCCTTGATTTTTTTTTTTTTTTTTTAAGTTTTTCAACTTCTACTCACACTTTAATTAGAAAAATAAAAGCTAATGAAAGGTTACTGTTAAAAAATGTTTTATGCTGATAATAATATTGCAAAATTGATTTTTATAGGAAAATAATAATGTGACTACAAAAAGATATGAAGATGTACATGGATTCTCCCTTACATACATGACATATGTTAAGTGAATCTATCAACAAAGTATGAAAATCATAAAAAAATAGATAATTCCAAAGTCGACAAGA